CTTGTCTCTGGTCTTCCCCGGTCTCTCCCTCCCCTTCCTTCGGGGCCAGGACCTTCCTGTGTCCCTTGTGTCGAGGGGCGCCTCCGGGCTGCCCCCCACTCCTCACAGTTTCCTCCGACAGAGGCTCCTCTGCAGACGCTTCACGTGGACGTGTGGGGCCCGGCCCGCGTCCGTGGACAGGGTCACGAGCGCTACTTTCTGCTGGTGGTTGACGACTACTCGCGTTTCACCACAGTCTTCCCCTTGCGCAGCAAGGGTGATCTCACTGAGGTGTTGATCGACTGGATCCGCGCAGCTCGTCTCCAGCTCAGGAGGAGCTTCGGCTCGGACTTTCCTGTTCTGCGTCTGCACTATGACCGAGGCGGAGAGTTCTCCTCTGGCCTTCTACGAGCCTACTGTCGTGCACAGGGCATCCGCCAAACCTTTACGCTTCCGGACTCTCCACAGCAAAATGGGATTGCTGAGCGCCGCATTGGCATGGTCATGGACGTCGCCCGTACGTCCATGATGCATGCGGCTGCCCCCCATTTTCTGTGGCCGTTTGCGGTACGGTACGCGGCGCATCAGATCAACCTTCACCCCGGGGTTTCCCGGCCGGGGAAGGTCCGTACCTCCCCGGCCCTCCTGTGGACTGGGAAGGTCGGCGATGCGTCTGCGTTCCGTGTCTGGGGATCTCGGGCGTTTGTCCGCGACTTGTCTGCGGACAAGCTGTCCCCTCGTGCTGCTCCCTGTGTCTTCCTTGGCTTCCCCCCTGACGCCCCAGGGTGGCAGTTCTACCACCCCTCCTCTCATCGTGTTCTGTCCTCCCAAGACGTCACGTTCCACGAGTCAGTCCCCTTCTACCGCCTCTTCCCCTACCGCACTCCTTCCCTCCCCCCGCCACCGGACTTCCTTGTGCCAGGTCCCCCCCCGGTAGACCCCCTCCCCCCTCAGGTTCCTGCCCCTTCAGGTATGTCCCAGGTAGATGCAGTCGAGCCGGTGGAGGTTGATGGTGACTCTGGTCCTGCTGCGGGTGCTGAGCCTGGGGGTGCTGACTCTGGGGGTGCTGTGCGCGTGGGTGCTGAGCCTGGGGGTGCCGAGCCTGGGGGTGACGAGCCTGGGGGTGCTGTGCGCGTGGGTGCTGAGCCAGGGGGTGACGAGCCTGAGGTTGCTGAGTCTAGGGGTACTGTGCCAGAGGGTGTTGCGCCTGGAGGTGCTGCGTCTGGAGCTGCTGAGCCGGGAGGTGCGGAGCCTACGGCCACTGGACCTCCCCTTGTGGCGTCTGGCGGTGCTGGGCCTGGTGGTTCTCCGGGTGCTACGTCTTGGCGGGAGCCCCTCTCTCCACAGGAGCTGCGCGAGTGGTTTGCTCGCCGCTGGAGGCGAACTGCTGGAGCTGGAGCTTCTTCGTCCGCTAAAGGTGCTGGTGCCGCCGGTCCTGGAGCTGCTGGGCCTTCGGATCCTACTGGAGCTGGAGCTGATGAGGGTGTTGGTGCTGAGACTCCTGCTGTTTGTCCTGGCGGTGGTCCTGCTGCTGGTGCGGCTGGAGGTCCTGCCGCTGGAGGTGCTGTTGGCGCTGGTGCTGCCGCTGAGGGTTCTGTTGCTGTCCGTGCTGTGCCTGGAGTCCCCGCGCGGCCTCGGCCGTACTTCGTTCCGCTCCTGCAGCAGGTTCTTGGTCTTCCTCCTTCTGTAGAGTGCCCGCCGTCTGTCCAGTCGCCGTCACTGTTAGAGCCAGCCTCCCCACTGCCTGCTCCCTCTCCTTACACTGGTCCTACTGGAGGTCTCGCTGAGCGTCGTGAGCCTGCATCTCGTCCCTCGTCGCCTGTTCGTGCTGCTCGCGCTAGTGGTCGCGGTTCGCGTCAGCGTCCTCCTCCTGTCCCTGGAACGCACCGGATGTCTCTGCGTCCGTCCACTACTCCTCTGCGTGCCCCTTTGCCTTCTCCTCCTGAGTCCTCTCTTCCTGCGCTTTCCGACCCGGAGTCGGACTCTCTTCGTGCTGCCAGTCCTACTGTCACGCGTCTTCTTGCTACTGTTGTCACTTACCCCTCTTTTGAGTCCACTGCTGCGTCTGCTCTTGTAGCTGAGCTCGTCGACTTTGCTGCTCGCTGTCGTCTAGACTACGCTGCTAGTCTTGTTGCTGAGTCTACGTCTATCTGTCCTCCGTCCGTCGGGGGTGAGTGTGCTCTTGGCACGGACGTCCTTGAGGACAGTCAGGAGGAGTTCCAGTGTCTGGCTGCTGCTTCACCTCATCTCGCATCTGCACTACTTGCCCCTGAGGGAGACCCGGATGCACTAGACATCCCGACTCCGCGTTCTTACGCGGAGGCCGTAGAGGGTCCCTACTCCTCTCAGTGGCAGGCAGCTATGGATGCAGAGATGGCTTCCTGGAAGTCCACAGGCACCTACGTTGACGAGGTTCCCCCTCCTGGGGCGAACATCGTCAGTGGCATGTGGATCTTCAGGGTGAAGCGGCCGCCTGGCTCTCCACCTGTCTTCAAGGCGCAGTACGTCGCTCGTGGCTTCAGTCAGCGGCAGGGAGTTGACTACTTTCAGACCTTCTCTCCCACCCCGAAGATGACTAGTGTTCGGGTGCTGCTGCACATAGCCGCTCAGCGCGACTACGAGCTTCACTCTCTTGACTTCAGCACTGCTTTCTTGCAGGGCAGCCTGCACAAGGAGATCTGGCTGCGCCGTCCGCCTGGCTTCACTGGGACTTTCCCTCCTGGCACCCAGTGGAGCCTCCGACGGCCAGTCTACGGTCTCCGCCAGGCACCGCGTGAGTGGCACGACACACTGAGGACTACGCTTGCGGCTCTTGGGTTTGCTCCCTCTACTACTGACCCATCGTTGTTTCTGCGCACCGACACTTCTCTGCCGCCGTTCTACATCCTCGTGTACGTCGACGACTTGGTCTTTGCCACTGCTGACACTGCTGGACTCGCCTACGTGAAGTCCGAGCTGCTGAAGAGACACACGTGCACAGACCTGGGTGAACTGCGCAGCTACCTTGGCTTGCAGATCACTCGGGACAGAGCACGCCGCACCATTACATTGACTCAGTCACACATGGTGCAGCAGGTCCTTCAGCACTTCGGCTTCACGTACTCCTCGCCTCAGGCCACTCCTCTGGCTACTCGCCACTCGCTCTCAGCTCTGCCTTCGGATGAGTCCGTAGAGTCGAGTGGCCCGTACCCAGAGCTTGTTGGCTGCCTCATGTACCTGATGACCTGCACACGACCTGACCTTGCATACCCTCTTAGCATTCTTGCACGCTATGTTGCTCCTGGGAGACACCGACCAGAGCACATGGCTGCAGCGAAGAGGGTGTTGCGCTACTTGTGCAGTACGTCGGGCATGGGGCTAGTGCTTGGAGGGCGGAGTCCAGTGGTCCTCACTGGTCACGCGGACGCTTCTTGGGCTGACGACCAGGCTACGCAGCGGTCGTCGCAGGGGTACACCTTCAGTCTTGGTTCTGGCTCTGTTTCTTGGCGGGCTACTCGCTCGTCTTCTGTTCTCGGCTCCAGTTGTGAGGCTGAGATCTACGCCGGGGCCATGGCTGCACAGGAGCTTCGCTGGCTCACCTACCTGCTGACTGACCTTGGAGAGGTGCCTCGTTCTCCTCCAGTGCTGTACGTAGACAATAAGGCCACGCTGGCCTTGTGTCGAGAGCAGCGCCTGGAGCACAGAATGAAGCACATTGCTCTCCCCTACTTTATTGTTCGTGAGCTGCAGCAGCGTGGTCAGTTGCGACTTGCGTACGTGGCCTCTGAGGCCAACACTGCTAATGTTTTCACCAAGGCACTTCCGCTTTGTGATCATCAGCGCTTCTGCACTCAGCTGGGACTTGTACCTGTCCTACCTCACTTGCTCACCTCTTGACCTTGCTTGCACTCTTGTATATATATATATACCTGCTCTTGCTTGTTTAGCCTTATATATATATGTCTCATCTTGCATGTGAACTGGCCTTGTGGCCTTGACCTTGTGCTCGGACTGTGTGGTGACTTTGTGATCCACCCTGAGCTTTGCTTTGCTTTGCTTGACTGGTCTTGTGACCCCTTGTTCTCCCCCACTTTGCCTATGGGGGTGTGTCAGAACTTATAGCTTATGCTTTTGTGTAGGCTATAGTGGGGTATCCCATAGGGGGTACAACCCAATTAGGGTTGGTATTTGTACTCGCACATTTCATAGTTCATTCATTCCTGTTCTTTAGTTTCACACCAGCTACTAGTCTCGTGGTAGTTCCTTCCTCTGTCTGTAGGCCAGAGACAGGTGGTGGGGTAGGAGTAGTACCGGGAGAGCCGTTGGAGGAGCTCCTCTCCTTTCTGGTTGACATGTCTTCTTTGATGTAAGGAGTGTTGAATAATAAGTTTTAACTCTAACTTGCTCTCATACCATGTTGGGCTGAGAAGCCCTAGGATCTTTGTAGAGTTAAAGTCTGACTGGGATTGTAATAGCGGAAGCGTTGAATAAAGGTCTTGAACCACCTTGCGCTAGTATGTGAGGGCAAAGTAATTTGTTTAAAACATGCAGAGACAAAGCTTTATATAAGAGTACAAGGAATACGAATAGATATAATTAACTACCTTGCTGTTGCGATTCGATACAGTGCGACTCGGGCAACTGCTCAATGTCGAGTCAGTTGTGTGTCCTTGCTGTCGCGCTGTATTGGTCAAGTCAAAGGTCGCTGACCTTTGACCTTCGCGTAACCTCCAGGCGGTTACCCTAACCTCCGAGGGTTGACTCGCGATGCTTCTATTTGGACTGCTTCGCTTTTGTGTCCTGAGTTTCGACACGACAGAGGCGCTTAAGACTTATTGTTCCCAACAGAGATAATGTGCAACTTGACATTATTGCCTCATTCTCCAGTTTATATGGCACATTCAATCAGCACATATCGTGATCACAAACCCGTTACTCTAACCTTCAATCCTGAAATGCAGACGTTGTCCGCCTCACGAACAGACACTGACAGGTACGTAGGCCCTCGCACTGGAAGCGTAATAGAATCGATGTTCTTTTGTTCAGACGAACGCCTTGAGGGCTTCCATCAAGGTCGACTCGGTCATTACACCCTCGATCGTCTGAACCGCACTCCCACCCTTGTAAATCTTCACAACAGGAACATCTCGAACCCTCTCGATTTCGGCCGTCTGGGGGTTCTGGTGGATGTCCATCTTGAAGATATCAGCACTTCCTGCAAATAAACCCGCGAGCTCGTCAATGGAGGGAGCGATTGCTAGGGAAGGCCCGGACGATGACGCGTAGAAGAAGACGAGGGCAGGAAACGTATCGTCCCAAAAAACAAGTCTCCAGAAAGTGGAATCCGTCACAGTCTCCGCTATTGAAATGAGCTACTAGCGCGTGCTAGGTGTGGTGGGAGACTAAGACTCGGAGTAACCCACTGTGAACGTGACGGAAGTTTGGAGGCTGACGTTTACCAAAGGACTAATTTTATCATTGTGGCGCTTCGCCTATACCTCATTGCAAGTGAGTGCGAGGCCTTGACCGTGCAACCTGACGCAGTGAGGAATAAGGTGAGGGCCGTTTGAGGAGGGAAGGAAGGGAAATTATACGGGCGCTACGGCAGTGGAAGATGGGAAGAAACACGGAAGTAAGGAGGTGAAATGAGAAGTGTCGAGAAAGGATTTTACGGGGGGGAAGTGTTAGGTTGGACCATGGCGTGGTCCACAAGGCACGGTGTTTCGGACTTGGGTGGGCTCGAGAAAGGAAGAATGGTGGAATGGAAAAAATGGTGGAGAATCCAAATCGCTTTGAACCGTTTGATATCGTTTTGCGCCATGGGTCATGAACTATAAACGAACCGTAAACGTACGCAACCAGTCTGCATCCATCCACTTGATTTGAGGATTCGATGACACTGGTCAGTGAGGTGCATAGGTCTAACTTCAAGAAGTCGCCTCCCGTGGTGGACTCCCTATCGCAAATTCTCACTATCGCACAGGGCGGAGCGAAGGGGTGTCGCGCGTTTGTAGTAAGGGTTTCCAATTTCGCAGTTGAAAACGATCATTCCAATCGACCGCTTAGTGATTTCTTCAAAAATGAAAAAAGATGTCAAGTGTATTGTGATCACATGCCCCAGCGCCCATCCATATTCGGATTGGACATGAATCGTTGACGCACCGCCCCTCGCCCGACGCGCTATGCTCTTCATTCCCTTCGCGTTTAAAAGACGCAACCACCATGACCACTAATACTATCTCGGTCCCGTTCTCCACAGCTCCCTCCTAATCTCCTAATCTCCTCATTCCTCTCCTTCCCTCCTCTCGCACCGCTGAATCGTCACTAGCCGCGCGAGCAGCGCTCGCCGTTAGCCGCGCGAGCAGCGATGGACTATTCGCTGCCCGCCCGCAAGCTGCTCCTCGCTGACGTCAGCGCGTACCGGATTATCCGGCGAGCTAACGGGCAACCGCTGCTGGAGGTGCGGCATGCGGGGCGCGGGGGAAGGATGAGGGCGCGGGGGGGAAGGATGAGGGGCGAGGGGGAAGGAAGAGGGGCGGGGGGGAAGGATGAGGGGCGAGGGGGAAGGATGAGGGACGGGGGGAAAGGATGAGGGGCGGGGGGAAGGATGAGGGCACGGGGGGAAAGGATGAGGGGCGGGGGGGAAGGATGAGAGGCGGGGGGGAAGGATGAGGGGCGGGGGGAAGGATGAGGGGCGGGGGGGAAGGATGAGGGGCGGGCGAATGATGAGGGGCGGGGGGGAAGGATGAGGGGCGAGCGGAAGGATGAGGGGCGGGGGGGAAGGATGATGGACGGGGGGAAGGATGAGGGCGCGGAGGGGAAGGATGAGGGGCGAGGGGGAAGGATGAGGGGCGGGGGGAAGGATGAGGGGCGGGGGAATGATGAGGGGCGGGGGGGAAGGATGAGGGGTGGGGGGAAGGATGAGGAACGGGGGGAGGAAAGATGAGGGGCGGGGGAAGGATGAGGGGCGGGGGAAGGATGAGGGGCGGGGGAAGGATGAGGGGCGGGGGGAAGGATGAGGAGCGGGGGGAAGGATGAGGGGCAGGGGGGAAGGATGAGGGCGCGGGGGGGAAGGATGAGGGGGGAGGGGAAGGATGAGAGGCGGGGGGGAATGATGAGGGGCGGGGGGAAGGATGAGGGGCGGGGGGGAAGGATGAGATGCGTGAGAGAAGGGTGAGGGTTGCAATTGGCAGTGCCACCCACAGCATGTCACCCACCTCATCTCTCCCTCTGTCCTCCTCGCCCTCTGTCCTCCTCTCCCTCTGTCCTCCTCTCCCTCTGTCCTCCTCGCCCTCTGTCCTCCTCTCCCTCTGTCCTCCTCTCCCTCTGTCCTCCTCGCCCTCTGTCCTCCTCGCCCTCTGTCCTCCCCGCCCTCTGTCCTCCTCTCCCTCTGCCCTCCTCTGCCTCTGTCCTCCTCGCCCTCTGCCTATCCACAACACCATGTCCGCATATTCATTGCCACGTCTGGCGACTGGAACGATCACCACAGGTTCAATTTTTAAGGTTTCAAAAAGGTTGTAACCTAGGAGCTATTGGTTGAGGGGGTGTGAGTTCACTTCCTTGGTCTCTCCACCTCTACCTGCTGCTCAGCAGCTGTCCGCTCCTTGTCTCCTCCCCATCACTGCCCCCGTCTCTGCCTCGTGCGTGGCCTGGCATGGCATGGCATGGCATGGCGTGGCATGGCGTGGCATGGCATGGCATGGCATGGCATGGTATGGCATGGCATGGCGTGGCATGGCATGGCGTGGCATGGCGTGGCACGGCACCACAGGTGAACGGCATGGCGTTGCAGCGAGTGTGGGTGCAGGGCGTTCTCAGAAGCCCAGATGCTGCCTCCTCTGCTGCTGCCCCGGGTGGGGAGGTGCCTACTGGCGCAGGCAGTTCTGCTGCTGCGGAGGGGAGGTTGTATCTGGACGACGGCAGTGCAGCGGTTGAGATCGTTCCTGCTAAAGGGGGGTCTCCTCCGCTTGTCGGTGCGTGATGTGATTCTAACGGGCGGGACTTTAGGGTACAAGGGGTGATTGGTGCATGCATGTTGGGAAAGGGATGGTGTGATGGGCGAGTTTCATGCAAGTGTGATTGGTTAGGGTTGCAGTTTTGGGGTTGTGTCTTTGGTCCCCCATTCTCTAGCTTGCAGAGTGTGCGCTGCAGTTGGGGAGGCTTGAGTTTACGAGGCAGCATGCATGTGAGTAGCTGGTGTGTGTGCTGTCGAGTTGACAGGTTAGCTGTGTTCCTGGGTGATGTTGGGGGGGCGACTGTGTTGCGTGGATGGTAGGTTGTAGCGTTGAGGTGATGGCTGCTTCAAGGGTTCATGAGGGAGTGAGCTGGACTTTTTGCATTGCTGATTGTTCCCCCTCTTCAGGGCTCTGAACCACTTAGTGGATCCGTGCCTGTTCGTCCTTTGTGGCCTTGTCTGTCTGTGCGCTCATGTTCCTTCATTGTCCACGTGCACATGTCTCTCTCCATGTGTCTGTCTCTATGCGTATCTTCGCGTGCACACACATGTGCAGGGTCGTATGTTCAAGTCATAGGTGCTCTCTGCACCCGCCCTGCCAGCCCACCGTTTATCAAGGTGACCCTATTGCATGCCCTTTCACTGCGCGCCATCAATCCAGTGACCCCACTCCCTATTTGTAGCCTGCCTGCCGTTAAGTGCGGACCATGCCACTCGCAGCACGTCTGCAATCCCCATCTGCCACAACATGCCTTCCTCATCTCCCCACCCCTTCCCCCCCCCCCCCCGTCCTCTCTCTTTCCACCTCCCCTCTCTTCCCCTCTCCTCCGCGTGCAGGTGCACAAGCTGGTGGATCTGTCTGCAGACCCCAACAGAGAGTCGCTGTGGCACTTGGAGGTGATAGAAGCGCACGTCAGGTCGAGACCCAAGCCACACACGTGACCCAAAGCCCCCAACAGAGATTCCCGGTGGTGGTTAGAGCTGCTTAAAGCACTGTGGCTCGTGCTGAAAAGGCTACCGGCTGACTGACGCAGTGCAGTGTATAATCGTCTACGGTATCTCATGCCAGTCAGTGTGCTGCCAACTGTGCCAGGCTCAACATATGGTACCGCGGTGGCAGTTCTTGTACATATCGCGCTCGTCTTGACTCAGCAGCTTCAGTCACATAAAAAAAGGGAGGAATTTGTTTTTTCTTAAGGCGTGTTTCTACTCCAGGGTAATTTGTAATGCTGTATGTCGAGGGGCTATTCCCCAGAACAGAAAACTAAATCTGTCACAACGGTGCACACTACTATCTGCTGCAAGCATGCAACCACTAGGAGCACAGAGCGTTCAGCAGCTCACGTCGAGACTGTAACGCACCGCACATGTTACACTCCATGTCATCCGCCACCTCATACTGCCCTGCACCCTCACCACCCCCTCCCCCTCCTCCCCCTCCTCCCATCCACCGCCCTGGCTTGGCAGCCATGGTGCCGCCACACCCCTCCACGGCACACAGATGCTTCATGAAGAACAGCGCATGTGCCAGCTCAGCATCTGACACGTCAGCAGCCTGCCCATCCCCGTCCTCGTCACTGTCATCCTTGTCAGCATCACCGTCCGCCTCGTCAGCATGCTCCTCCTCTGCTGCTTTCCCTTTGCCTTTCCTGTCCGCTACTCCCTTCCCTGCCACACTCCCAGCTATTTCCTTGCCCTTGCTTCTCTCCCCTCCCCCACCTTCCTCTTCTCCCCCATCTGCCTCATCTGATTCCTCTTCCTCTTCCTCTCCATCGCTCCCTGCGCCATCCTCCTCCCCTTCATCACACCCCTCCTGCCCCTCCTCCCCCCCCCTCCTCCTCTTCCTCCTCCTCACTCTCATCACCACCCATCCGTCTCTCCAGCTCGCACCGTTCACAACCACAATCAAACCCGTACTCTTCTGTCACCCGCGCACTGCGCTCCCCCAGGCGCCAGCCGAGGGGGAAGTACGACACCACCACCTCCTCGCCGCACTCAAGGTCCCGCATCGCCCGCACCTGCATGTGCGTGTTGCCGCTGAACCCCCCGCTGGCACTGGCGGCACTGCTGGTGCTGCTGCTGGTGCTGCCAGCAGTGGTGGTGGTGGGTGCAGTGGCCGGCGGCAAGTCAAAGTAGTCAAACCTGCGGAACGAAGTCGGCAGAGAACAAGCATGGATACTGGGAGGTTAATTGGGGGATGCAAGAGGGAGAGGGAGCGAAAGAGGGAGGGGAGGGGAAAGAGGGAGAAGGGATGGAAGAGGGAGAAGGGGCAAAAGAGGGAGAGTGGGTGAAAGAGGGAGAGGGGGCGAAAGAGGGCGAGGGGGGAAAAGGGAGAGAGGGGAAAGAGGGAGAGGGGGTGAAAGAGGGAGTGGGGGCTAAAGAGGGAGAGGGGGCGAAAGAGGGAGAGGGGGCTAAAGAGGGAGAGGGGGCGAAAGAGGGAGAGGGGGCTAAAGAGGGAGAGGGGGCTAAAGAGGGAGAGGGGGCTAAAGAGGGAGAGGGGGCGAAAGAGGGAGAGGGGGCGAAAGAGGGAGAGGGGGCTAAAGAGGGAGAGGGGGCTAAAGAGGGAGAGGGGGCTAAAGAGGGAGAGGGGGCTAAAGAGGGAGAGGGGGGTCAAGGTAGTCAGTCAGAGGAACTTTCATGCATGAAAGCAACGGTGGCGCATGGAAAGAGCATACCCATGTGAGACCACATGTGAGACCACATGTGAGACCACATGTGAGACCACACGTGAGACCACATGTGAGACCACATGTGAGACCACATGTGAGACCACATGTGAGACCACATGTGAGACCACACGTGAGACCACATGTGAGACCACAGGTGGGAGTCGCACCTGCAGGCATTGGGATAGCACGAGTGGTTGGCCAGCGAAGCAGCGCCGTACATGGCATACCCCCGCACAGCCCTCTCACCCCGCGGGCTGAACGGCGCCATCACTCCAAAGCTGTTGCGTGTGTCTCGAGCCAGCAGCGCACGCGTCACCTCCCATGAAGGAGCGCTTGTGCTGAACCCCGCATGTGCACCCTCGCTTGTGCCATCCCGGGTGGCGGTTTCACTAGAGCCTGCAGCGGCAAGCACTGTGGGCCCAGCAGGCCAGGTCCAGTCGTGTGTCACTCGCAGCACTGCTTCGTGCACCCGCCTTGCCCGCGCCCTCTCCTCCTCCTTGCTCGCGTCCCCTGCCGCCCCAACCGCTTCTGCACTGCTGCTGCCGGCACTAGCGCCATCAGCCCCAGCAGCAGGAGCTGCATTGGTTGCATCCTTGCATCTCTCTCCATCCCCATCCCCGCCTCTCCCGCCCTCCCCCTCGTCCCCGCCATCCAGCGCCATCAGCAGCGCAAAGCAATCGTTCCACGTCCTCCTCCCGCTGGCTCCCCCTGTCCCTCCCTCAGCCCCCTCCCCTCCCCTCCCAACCTCCCCCTTAATGCCCCTTCCGCCTGCTCTCTGCGCCAATTCCTCCCCCCATACTGCCTCCGCCAAAGGGGGAAGCACGCAGGGATGCACCAGCAGGTCGTACGCAGCCAATAGAAAACGGACAGCTGTCCTGTCCTCGCTGTTCAGCAGGGCTGATTCACTGTCCGCGTCGCCCCCAGCTGACGTGTCATCTGGCCTCTCTTCGTTGATTGGCGGTGGCACGGATGCCCCACCATCGGCGGAAGCTGAAGTGGCGGAGCGAGGGGGGAGGCGGGAGAGCGCGCGGCAGAGGAAGGGGGTGTGCGTGGCCGCTTGTGATTGGTCGAGGCAAGCGGGGGAGCAGAAGGAACAGATGCGGCAGTGGGGGCAGCGAAGGGGGGTGGCGGAGGGGAGGGGGGAGGGCGGGGCGGCGGCATCCGCGGGGCTGGTAGCGGAGGGGAGGCACCTGCGGAAAGTCAAGTGGGGGGGAGAGAAGAAGGGGAGTGTGGAGTAAGCGGTGAACGCAAGCGATAGCGGAGTGGACATCCACTGGGCACCGGATTTTGACGTCAAGACTGCGACAACCGTTGATCATTCGCAAACGCTTCTGATAAGCTGCCGCGCTTCTGTGAGCTAGGGGCTTGGATGCTGCATGTCAATCGCGCGCTGAAGAATGCCAATGCGCGACGAGGGGCGAGGCGCAGTAAGGGTCTGGACCGGGGTCACTCACGACAAGACCCTACACTACAGGGTTGCTCACGAAACAAGCCACCACAGGTCGCATTGCTCACTACTGGTCACCGCAGGCAGTGCTCACCGCAGGCAGGGCTCACCGCAGGCAGTGCGAGCAGTAGTCGTCGCACACATCGTCGTCGACGTATAGCAGCAGAGGCGCCTCGTCCAGCAGCACCTCGCCCTCTCGCACGGCCCGTCGCACGGCCAATCCGCGACCGCGCGGGCCGCGAACGACTTGCAGCATGCTGAATGCCAACAATCTGCGGGGATCACAGAGAAACGGGCGTTTGTCGCCAGACGTCGCAACCGGAGAGCAGGTCAACGACTTGTCGAGACGCGCGATCGAAAATGGACAATCCCCTGACCCTACCACTGGAGGGGAAGCACGTTCGTTTGAGTCCTAACTCAACTACTAGCTGTGGCATGTTCCGGTCGCAACGAGACTGTTGCTGTGACGATGTGATTGGGATTCGGGCGAAGTTTCGGGTTTCTGGTTCAACAATCCCAAATCCCAATACCGTACCCGTTTTGGGACTTGATTGCACAATCAGAGTCAACAAGAATGTTGTTCCAGCTCTATGAAACAGTAAGAGTACCACTACGAATATTTAAAACCAGCAATAGGTTGTTTGTTATCACAATTTGCTTTGTCCACCTTTCAGAATGATTACAGGAATATCCCAGGTTTTCACACCCCAAAACACCCGCTCCTGGGCTTTCAAGCATCTCAACCCCCTGAATTCATGCGTTTATGTCCCTTACCAAACCAGTAGCACAAGTATTTGCACACAACAAAAAACAGCCCCATTCAGTCCCTACCTACCAGTGCATGCTGGGCCATCCCATGCCTAAAAAAACTTGTATTGTGATGCTGCTCCCTACACACCACGACCGGAATCGCCAACCCCAACACCATCGACACTTTTCTTGTCATCAACAGGCAGCACTAGCAGCAGGTCGCACCCAGATTCAGAGAACTAGTTGTGGATCAGGAGGTGAAGGACAAGCCTTGGAGCGAGAGTGCAAGTGAAGGAGTTGGAGCGTAGAGGATGGAGTTCAGATAGATGGAGGCGGACAAGTGATGTAACAGAAACAATGGAGTTGAGAAAAAGAGCTACAATAACATGGGTTTTGCCCCTCAGCACCATGTGGCTTGCACTCCGCCCCTCACTCCCTCCATTGCAGCTGCACGAGAGGGAGAGGGAAGGGGACACAAGGGAAAGGGACACTGGCCCATGGCATGGACTCCAGAAATATCTCACAAGCGGAAGGAAAGGAGAGCAGCCAGTGACCGGAATTTGAGGACGTTATAAGGTACATATACGATCAACCCAGGCTTGGTATGCATCAAAAGGAGATAGAGCATAGCACTTGCCCAGGGTAGCGCGTGGATGCATAGTACAGACCTACAAGGGGAGGTCTCATGCAGGGCCTCATATTCGTTTTGGCCAAGGCTGAATCGTCAGGCTAAGGAGTGAGCTGAAGGCTGATCAATCTGGGCATCCAAAAAAAAAAAAAAAAAAAAAAAAAAACTGAATTTTCAGTGTTTAGTTTAGAAAAATGGCTGATCAATCAGCCTTGTTAAAAAATAAAAAGGCTAAACATGACTTCAAGCTTTCCTTCAGTGCAACACATGCATTCAAAGTTTGGCATTGATAAAAGGACTGTTACACATAACTGATATCATTATCATCATCATCATCATCATCATCATCATCATCATCATCATCATCATCATCATCATCATCATCATCATCATCATCATCATCATCATCATCATCATCATCATCATCATCATCATCATCATCATCATCATCATCATCCCCACCACCACCACCACCACCATCATCATCATCATCATCATCATCATCATCATCATCATCATCATCATCATCATCATCATCATCATCATCATCATCATCATCATCATCATCATCATCATCATCATCATCATCATCACTAGATGAACAGTCCAGAGCAGCATCTACAGGCTCGTTCTCATCTACTTCCATCTGTTCTTTTCCCTTCTTATTGGTGTCACCTGGGGTGGAAATAGGGGCATTAGAGAATGGCTTTTGCTTCTTATACCCTTTCCAGATCTTGACCACCTCATCATATTATGGCTCATACTGCATCAGTGACAAGCACATCAGATCTCCCGGCCTTGCATCCTTGAGCCCACTTTGAAGCCATGGCTTGATAACATTCTTCCTCGAATAGCCCCTTTCGCACTCCACACTGCTCAGGGGAACCATTGCCACCGCTACCCACAGCTGCAGCTGCACGAGGTTGGGGTAGCTCTCTTGCTAGTCAAGTGACATCAAGATCGCTGAGAGGCCGTCGTGGAAGGACCTCTCTCCCTTTGGTGCAGCTGCAACGACGGAGCAAAACATCGGAAGCTCCTTGCATGCCCGCATATTGTTGATTCATGGCAATGTCACAAGAGGGCTTGGGGAGAGGCAAACATAGTATGTTTCAGCATGGGTTATAACATTGAGACGACGAGCATGACATTAGAACAAACATGATAAACATGGGAAACGTGACTTGGAAGAATCTCTTCAGGCTCTTGTGCCTTGAACACGTCACCAATAACTGAAGCCACTCCATGCATCGTGCATGCCGATCTGCTTTGCCTTGTGGCCAAGCATCAGACATGAAAAGTCTAACACCAAAGAGCAAATTCAGGCCACCCAACCTCCTCTCCAGGTTCGCCACGATGCATTCTGCGAACTCGGTGCACATATCAACGCATCCTTCGTGATGCTCAGTGTGCGGTACCCATCCGCAGGGTCGTCATGAAGTGTAAAGGACGCGGGCCGACCGTTAGAGTCGACCCCCTCCACTATCACGTTGCGGTTCCTTCCAGGACCATGGCGCACCAAAAAGGGCGAGAGCCAGTAGCTCAAGCCACCGGCGAAGTCATCCTCACAGTCGATGTAGCGGCTCTCAATGTGCGATGTGGTCCGCTTGATTTGGGCATGCAGCAAGACAAGGTCCTGCTGCAAAAGGTAAGAAATGTCAAACATTATATATGTTTCTGTTGTGTAGGCTACAGTGGGTTAGCCTTTAGGGGGTACACTTCTCTAGGGTTTCCTACTTGTACTCTAGCATCTTTCTAGTCCAACACTTCTTGTTTCTGACATGGTATTAAGAGCTTAGGCTCTAGACCTAGGACTTACCTAAGGGCCCACCGTTAGAAGCGCCCTCGAGCGCCGTATCGACTTAGCGCCCTCGAGTGCCGTATCGACTTAGCGCCCTCGAGTGCCTCTCTCCTAGTGCACCTCTCTTTCTCCTGCTGCCCGTGCGCAGCTCGCTAGTGCCGCGCGCGACCTTTTTTTTTAGCGCGCGTCGCCCGCTAGAAGCCCGCGCGCGGCCGTTTCTGCGTGCGCGCCGACCGCTAGCCGCCCACGCCGCCACGAGCAGCCCACTAGCCGCCCGTCGACCGGCCCTCCTGGCCGCGCGTAACCCGCTAGCGGGCCGCAGCCCTGCCTGTAGGCCGCCGCATCGCCCTCGTACGCCGCCGCCCGCGCGCGACTACAGTCCACACACAGCTGCGGACCGCCCGCTACAACCACCCACGCACAAGCCTACCGTCGCGCCGTGCCGCGTAGCCTAGTCCGAGCCACGCCATGGCACCCTGCCCGAGCCGCGCCGCCCGAGTTGCGCCACCCGAATCGCGCCGCCCTGACCGAGCCGCGCCGCCCCACCTGCAGCAACTAGTGCTACTGCTCGTGCTACTCCTGCTACTGCTACTGCTACTGCTACTACTGCTACTGCCACTATGGCTAGTCCCATTGTTCTCACCTTTGATGCCGAGGGCCGCCCGATTAAGTTCGATGTCTAGCTCGATGACCTTCACCTGTACCTCCAGATCACTGCCAAGGACGATGTTTCCCTCTATGACCACACGTCCGGCGCTGCTCCCGCACCTGCTGCTACTGCTGACAGTACTGCTCACTCATAGTGACAGACTCGTGACGCCCATGCTCGCCTAGCCGTTCGCAGCCACCTGCCGTTAGATGAGCGCGAGCACTTTGGCCAGCATAAGACCGCTAAGGAGGTGTATGATGCTGTAGTTGCCCGCTACTCCTCCCCTACCACTGCTGCGATCTGCCGTCTCTCACTGCCCTATCTCTTCCCCGATCTGTCTGCCTTTGCCACTGTAGCTGACCTCATCACTCACCTCCGTACTAGTGATCTCCGCTACCGTGCCGCACTCCCCCCCGATTTCCTAGCCAAGAACCCCCCCCCCCCCCCCGATGTACCCTCTACCACCTGGTCACTCGCCTCCCTGAGTCTCTTCGCGCTGTCAGGGACCACTTTCTCGCTCTCTCCCCCACAGACCTCACTTTCGACCTGCTCGAGAAGGAACTCCTCCCAGCTGAGAAGAGCATTGTCGCTGTAGGTGCCTCTTGTGGCGACCATCGCACTCCCTTCTTTGAAGGATGTTCCCCCTCCCCCCTTCTCCCCTCCATTGCACTTGCTGCTGCTGTCGACTACCTCGATGTTGAGGGGGTCGGAGCTGCGTTCGCTCCCAGTGGGAGGCGCAAGGGCGGCAGGGGCAAGGGGGGCCGGGGTGGAGGAGGCGGCGGCGGGGGAGGTGGTGGTGGAGGGGGTGGAGGGGGCGCCGGCGATGGCGGCAGTGGTGGGAGTGGTGCTAGTGGTGGGGGGACAGTGGCGGAGCCGGGGGTGGTGGAGGCGGCGGTGGTGGAGGTGGAGGTGGTGGTAGTGGTGGCGGCGGTGGAGCTGGTGGAGGGCGCGGTGGAGCGGTGCAGCGTGGCGGGTTCGGCAGCAGCCAGAGGCAGCAGCAGCAGCGTCCTAGCGAGCCCCCGTCGCCCCAGCAGCTCTGTGAGTGGTACTCTCAGCGTGGGGGGTCTGGGGGTGGAGGTACCTGCCCGTACGACAATTCACACAGGTGACCGCACTGGCCAGACTTGTGGGAGGTTTCACACGGCGCAGCGCTGTTTCTTTCGCCTCGACGACGCTTGGCGCGAGCAGTTTCCTGACACCTCTGAGCTGCCCCGCTGGGCTGATCTGCTTAAAAAGGGGATTGATATCATTGCTCTTGATTATGATGCTATCCTTGCTGCTATGTATGCATTGACCATTAGTGTTGAGGGTGACTGTTACCTGAGTGTACCGCCCGACCCGGGTATTGGGACCAGTGAGGCTGCAGCTCTAGGTGCTAGCGCGTCTTCTGCTCTAGGTCCTGATGAGGCTGTAACCCTAGGTGCTAGTGCG